GAGCACATGCCTGTGCTGCTTTCTGTCATCCTCTGTTGCTGTCAAGAGCTAGCTCTCAGATATTTATGTTCCTTTCAATATTTCCTCTCCAAGTTCTAAGATCTTGAACTTTGCTGTTCTTCATTTTCACTCTGAAGCGTCAGGTGTGAGGTTTATTTTTGTTTGTCGTGCTTGGACTCCAGTGAGCTCCCTGGACTTGCATCTGGGTTTCAACAGACTGGACCCTTCCCTCAAACATTGCTCCCTCCTACTTTCCCTCCTTTGCTTCTTATTTATTTATTTATTTAATTAATTTTATTTTTTTAGTTGATGTACACAAAACCTTTGTTTTATTTTTATTTATTTTTATGTGGTGCTGAGGATCGAACCCAGTGCCTCACACGTGCCAGGTAAGCACTGCACCACTGAGCCCCAGCCCCAGCCCCCCTCCTTTGCTTCTGAAGGGCTGAATAGATATGTCCTCTACCTCTCAGCATCTCTTTTATATTCTCCATACACTTTACTCCCAACAATAGTATATCTGTCAAAACTAAGAAATCATCATTGATATATTATTAACTACAGACTTGATTCAGATTTTACCATTTTTCCACTGAGAACTTTCCTCTGGCCTTTCATTTGAGTTTTGCTCTCTGCATCTTCCTCACTTTTTGACCAACTCACTGAAAAACTTGCGGCATTTTAACTAGAACTTGTTTTCAGTTGGAGAGTTATTAAGGAACCTAGTCTGACTTGCTTCTGGAAATAAAGTCTTGGAGTTTGAGGTTTTTAAAATCAGTTTCCCTCAAATGATGTTCATATCTGAAATACCAAGTCAAATGTGTCTTGTGTTTGTGTCATTAAAATTTCCTAACCTAGAAATATAGGCACCATTTTTACAATGGTAAAGATGTTGAATAACAAGAGAGTAGGCTAGAGATGAAGAGATCAGGAGTCTGTTATGACACTCTTGATAGGAGATAAGAGTCCAGGAACTTAAGGAGGCTTTGGGGCAGTTGGAAAGGAAAGGAGGAAATGATTAGAGGAACATAATGAAGCAGAACCTATAGAACTTGCTATATAATCTGCATTTTTTAAAAAAAATTATAGATATACAAACATTGTGTAGTGTTTAAGTCAGGTTAAACATATATACTTCCTAAAACACTTATCATTTCTTTATGGTGAAAACATTCAAGTTCTTTCTCCTAGCTTCTTGAAAAGTTCAGTAGGTACTTAGCAACAGCACCCAGAACTTGCTCCTCACTGCAATTTAGTGCCCACTGACCAGCCTTTTCCCAGCGTCCCCCATTCTCACCAGCCTTCGGTAACTGCCATGTTACTCTCAACTTCCATGAAGTTATCTCTTTTTATGTCCATATATGAATGAAATCACAGGGTACTTGTATTTCTGTGCCTGGGTTATTTCACTTACCATCATGATCTCCAGTTCCATCCATGTTGTTGCAAATGACAGAATTTCATTTTTGTGTCTGAATAGTATTCCATTCTGTATATGTGCCACATTTTCTTTATCAAGTCCTCAGATGGTAGAGGCTTAGGCTGTTTCCATTTCTTGACTGTTGCTGCAATGAACTTGGGAATGCAGGTGTCTCTTCAACATCCCAACTTCATTTCTTTGGGATATATATATATATATATACTCTGTAGTGGGATTTCTGAATCAGATGGCAGTTCAATTTTTAGTTTTTTGAGGCACTTCCGTACAGCTTTACTAATTTACATTCCCACCAGCAGTATGCAAGAGTTCCTTTTTCTCCATATCACTGGCATTTGTCATCTTTTATCTTTTTGACAATCACAAGTTTACTGGAGTGAGATTACATCTCATTGTGATTTTGATTTGCATTTCCCTGATAATTAGTGATGTTGATGTTGAACATTTTCTTATATACCTTAGGAACATTTGTATGCCTTCTTTCAAGAAATGTCTATTTGGGTCTAATGCCCATTTTTAAGTCAGATTTTTATCTTGGGGTTTTAGTTTAGTTTATTTTTTGCAGTGCTTAGAATTGAACCCAGGGCCTCCCCAAGTTTTTTGAAATTCAACACAAATTAAAGACATGAATATAAGACCTGAAACAGTGAAACTACTAGAGGAAAACATGGGGGAAGCAGTTCAGGAAGTGGAATGGGCAAGGATTTTTTGGACAAGATCCCAAAAGCACAGGAAACGAAAGAAAAATAGGCAAGTAGGATACCAAGCTAAAAAACACAGCAAAGAAAACAATAATTCCCCCATTAAAAAACATTGAATATGAATCCCTTATCAGATGTATAGTTTCCCCTACTCTGTGGACTGCTTCTTCCCTAGGATTGTTTCCTTTTCTGTGCAGAGCTTTCTGGCTTGACATAATTCCACTGTTTGTTTTTGCTTGTATTTCCTGTGGTTTGGGGTCTTTTCTAGCAGTTTTCATTGTTTCAGGTCTTACATTTACATCTTTAATTTGTTTTGAGTCGATTTTGTAACTGGCAAGAGAGCCAGACCTAGTTTGATTCTTCAGCATGTGGACACCAATTTTCCTGGCACCATTATTCAGAGACTGTCCTCTCTGCACTGTGTGTTTCTGGCATCTTAGCTGAAAGCCAGTTGGCTACTGTGTATGCTCAGGCTTACTCCTGGGCTGTCTGTCCTGATGTACAGTCTGTGTCTGTTGTGAAGCCAATGCCATACTGCTTGGATCACTACAGCTTTATGGTATATTTTGAGGTCAGCCTTCTGCTTTCTGCTTTGTTCTTTTTGTTCAGGATTATTTTGTATATTCATAATTTGTGTTTGTTTTGTTCACCACACAAATTATAGGTTTGTTTTTTCCAGTTCTCTGAAGAATGTCATTAATATTTTGATAGAGATTGCCTTGACTCTGACTCTGACTTGGGGCATTATGGGCATTTTAACAATTTCATTCTTCCAATTCAGGAACACAGGATGTCTTTCCATTTTTCTTATCCTCTTTAACTTCTTTCTTCATTGTTTTATAGTTTTCATTGTAGAGATCTTTCCCCTTGTTGGTTAAATAAACTCCTATTTTTTGTAGACAGTATAAATCAGATTGCTTTCTACATTTATATTTCAGATATATCCAGCAACTTTGATAAATTTGTTCATTAGTTCTGATACTTTTTAGTGGCATCTTTGGGGTTTCTTATATACGGGATCATTTCGTCTGCAAACAGTGACAATATGACTTCCCCTTTTCCAGTTTGGATGCCCTTTATTTCTTTCTCTTGCTTGATTGCTATGGCTAGGAGTTCCAGAACTTTGTTGAATAAAATGTTAAAAGTGGGCTTCCTTGTCTTGTTTCAGATCTTAGAAAGATTTCACATTTTTCTCATTCAGTATAATGTTAGCTTTTAACTTATTACATATGATCTTAATTATGTTGAGCTATGTTCTTTCTGTATTCAATTGTTCCATGTTTTTTATCATGAAGAGATGTTGAATTTTATCAAATGCTTTTTCTGCATCTGTTGATATAGTTTTTGTCCTTCATTCTGTATATTGATTCATGTTTGAACCATCCTGCATCCCACTTGATCATGGTGAATAATCTTTTTAATGTTGAACTCAGCTTGCTTGTATTTCTTTGAGGGTTTTTTGTTTGTTTGTTTTTTGCATACCTACTTAAAGGATATTGGCCGCTGGCATTTCCTTTTTTGTTGTGTCTTTGTCTGAGTTGGTTATCAGGATAATGTTGGCCTTGTAGAATGTGATTGGAAGAAATCCCTCCTCTTTAATTTTTTGGAATAATTTAAGAATTGGTATTGGTTCTCCTCCTTTAAAGGTTTGATAGAACTCAGCAGTGAAGCTATCTGATCCAGGACTTTTATTTGATAGGAAGCTTTTTATTACTGGTCCAAACTTGTTACTTGTTTTTCTGTTCAAGTTTTCTGTTTTTTCTTGGTTCAGTCTTGGTAAGGGCTGTGTGTCCTGGAATTTATCCATTTCTCCTAGCTTATCAGATGTATTGGTGTGGAGTTGTTCATACTAACCCATTAATATCGCTGTTATTTCTGTGGTGTCAGTTATGATGTCTCCCTTTTCATCTCTCATTTAAGACTTCTCTCTTTTTTTCTCAGTTCATCTTAGCTAAGGTTTTGTTAGTTTTGTTTACTTTTTTGAAGAATTAGATCTTTTTACTGATCTTTTGTATTTTTGTATCTATTTCATTTATTTCTGCTCAGATCTTCATTATTCCTTTTGTTTTATTTATTTGGGGTTTGATATCTTCCTGATTTTCTGGTGTCTTGAGTTACAGCAATAGGTTGTTTATTTGAGATCTTTCTGCTTTTGTGATGTAAACATTAATTGCTATAAACTTCTTTCTTAATGTGATATTTGCTGTACGCCATAGACTTTCAATATAGTGTATCTCCATATTCATTTATTTCAATAAATTCTTAAATTTCTTTCTTAATTTCTTCTTTGACCCACTGGTTGTTGAAGAGTAAGTTGTTTAATCCATGTATTTATATAGTTTTGAGGTTTTTCTTGTAATTGTTTGCTACATTTATTGCATTACAGTTGGAAAAGATACGTAATACAATTTCAATTTCTTAAAATTTCTTGAGACTTGTCAATAATATTGACAAAACATTTATTGACTTTAAGGCATATTCCAAGGTGCTTTTCTTTGGTGCTAGAATTTAGTTCAAACTTTTTGAACCATAACTTACAAGATTTTATTATATTTGTGACTCCTTATAAGTTGCTACTATTTCATGCAAAAAATAACAACTTATTATGAATTAAGAAAAAAAATAACGCCTGAGAAGATACTTAGCCTTATATGCAGTGCTTATGAACTTCTGTTAACAATTAAAATGGTACACAGGGTGTATGTGGGGTGTGGGTGTGGGTGTGTGTGTGTGTGTGTATGCGCTTGTATTGTAAAGAGGATAAACACTAAGCTGTGAGAGGATAGTCTGTAAGCCAGGAACTGTCACCTATGAAGAGTGTGAGGTACATTTTGACTCATCTCTGGGTTTATGGTTTTCAGGGAATTGATGCTGATGTCGCATCAGAAAAGCATCGAGCAGCTGCAGGAGACCATTAGACAGAAGATGCTTAGCGACGATAGCTGGAAGGAGAAGGTAATAGTGTGGCTTTCACCAGCCTGTGTCATATTTGCTTTTTAAAATTCTGCCCATTTGCTAGAATACTGTTCCAGATAGATTTTTTTGCTTCTAGGTACACTTTTGATCTCTTCTGGTATTTCCAACACTAAGTGTGTTTATGATGTGTGTATTTTCTAAAATATTACCCTACATAATAGGAAATTTAAAAAGTAAGAGCAGATTTTGAAATCTTGTAAGATTAAGAAAGCCCTTGTTTCTCATGCAGAAGCATGATTTTTTCCGAATGTTTACTTTTTTCACATAAGTGTTAGAATCTACATTTGATCAGTTGGGTTTTTGTTTGTTTGGTTTGGTTTGTTTTGGTTTGGTTTTTTGGTACCTGGGATTGAACTCAAGGGCACTTAAGCCACATCTCCAGTCCTTTTTTGTATTTTATTTAGAGATAGAGTCTCACTGAGTTGCTCGCTAAATTGCTGAGGCTGGGTTTAAACTCAAATCTTCCTGTCTCAGCCTCCCAAGCTGCCGGGATTATCAGGAGTACACCACTGCACCTAGCTGAACACGTTCTTTAAAAAAGGAAAATGTTCTTATAACTTCTCTTCTTCTCTTATAAGAAGATAATATAAAAGAATGGAAAATGACTTAAAGTCAGTTACGAACTTTCAAAATATTTACCCTGGCAAAATAAAGGGTTACCATTTAGCCTGCCATTATAAACAAATGTTTGCTTTTAGAGTATGAAAAAAAATGCACCAATTCTAATCTTTAGACTTTTGTGTATTTTCCAAAGTTGTAGCAGTGAAAATGTATTATTACTTTTGTAATTTTACATAGCATGAGTAATGTTTTTAAAATTGTTAATTCCCACCTTCTCAAGCCATGAATAGCTCTAGTCACTGAGATGACAACATCGTCTCCTAACATAGATTTCCAGTACTTCTTGATTGATCACTGGGCTCTACCCTGCACCCCTAAGTCTCTACCATGGAGCTACACTCCCAGTCTGGGTTTTTTTGTAAACTCTTAAATTTTCCCTTGAATGGGAGGTGGCCCCTGAAACTCAAGATTGTTTGACTGAAGTCCTAACAATTTGTGTAGTTGTTATTGGACTCTTCTCCTCAGGGACTAGATCCTATAACTTGTAACTTCTATCAATAAGCAGTGACCACTTTCAAACTAACATCTCCACCATGAATGCCCACTCTGCCATCAGCAAATTAAAACCCTTTAGGTGCTGTGGCTGGCTCAGGCCAATTCTAGTCTTTTCTGTTTCCAGTCTTCAAATGTATGAGCTGATAAGAGCCCTCCCTAAATCCTCACGTGCTCCCCTGTTCCTTAGCCTACAGAGTCAGGCAGTAATGATTGCTATGACTACAGTGCCATATTGGTGAAAGCAAAATTCGAGAGTATGGACTAAAGTTGCTGGAAGTGTCCCTCATAGCACAGCCCTTTCTTTCAAGGCCCACACTTTAATTCTTTTTAATGTTTACAAGCCTCATTGTACTTGATTATCTACTCTGTTTTTATTCATTTCTCCCGTCTTTACCAAATCCATGTTTTAAAATTCAAAAAGAAGATGATCAACTTAACAATCCAAAATATGCAAAGTAAAATGACAGATAGTTTTTAATTCATTCAACTGATAGACTTGCTTTGGCACCACACTGAAGAGCTAGCGAAATGGTGTCTCACACTTTCTCTAAGACACTGGAAATTAAAGCAACCTTCTTAAGACTTGTTCATTTGTATATATCAAGAGATACTGTAAATGTCCCTTCTCTGACTTGGAAATTTATCTGATGGAATTAACATGGTTGGAGATCAGCAATCCTTCCCTTTCCTCAGACTCCTGAGCTCCCTGTCTTAGACTATTTGGGGGAACCTGCTGGAGTATATGTGCCCCACCTGCACAGTCACCCCCACGTAGGGTTTTCAGATCCATTTCACTGGAGAGGGCATCTCTGCTTCTGACCCACCCTAGTCTCCTGCTTTCTGTGCTCTGGTTGTGAGGCACTAACACTGAGTAGATTCAGCAGCTGACCCTGCAGAACTTTATGCTCTTGCTTTATGCTAAGTTAATGTGATGGGGAAAATACTTGTAGGTAATAGTCTCAAAGTTCTTATTAAGACCATGATATCTGTCTCAGACGTCTTTAGGCATGTGTACTTTTCTATAGTTTGACTTCTTGTTAATAAACATCATTTAACTTGCAGTAAATCAAGCTCCAGGTCAGCAAAGCCAGGGAATGATAATTAGGTCTTGGCTGTGTTAGCTATTGAGATTACAAATAAAACTTCCCTAAAAGTCTTCTTATGAGAAAGAAGAATCACTAATATGACATTGTCATCTCTTTCTTGGGTCACTGTGCCTTTGCGTGGGAATGAAATGTTCCCTTTATAAATATATAATACATGTATTAGAGTAAACTTCATAGTTTAAATGCCTTTAACATTCAAAAACAGTAGACTGCAATTTGTGCTTGCGCTTAATTATTTTAGAGTATGTAAAAAGCTCATAATAGGAGCAATAGTTGCTATGCAGCAAGGATGGCACATTTTTAAAAAACAGTATTTACTAATTGTCATGGCTTTTTGTTTATTTGAAGTATTGCTTTGATCCAAAGAAAGCAAATTAATGTGCATGCTGAATCTTTAAAACTGGTCTCAAATGCACACTGTTGTTATTATTCAGTGAACACTTAGTAATTAAAAAAATCTCCCATAACCAAATTGCTTACATAACCAGTTCACGTCACTTATTGACTTGTTAGTACAACAAGCAGATCCCAAATATTCCTTTCTTAGATTATCATCAAGACATTAAATTTAGAAACATTTTAGAACTGCACTATTGACCCCATTTTAAGAACTACATAAAACTTTTGAAAACAAACAAAATCTTACTTCTGGCTGAAGTCTCTGAATTGATAGTGAAAATGCAAAGGAGAAAAGTTTACTTTAAGAGATATTAAATTTTTCTTGAAGAGAGAAAAATGTCTGAATTTTTTTTCAAATGGAAGAGCCAAATGTCTAATAATTCCTAATGTGTTGTAATGGACTATTAATGAAATAAAAAAGAATAGCATGTATAATACAAACTTTGATAGAGATGAAATTATTTATATAATATTTATTAACATTTATACCTAATAAATATATGGCTAAAAAGAATCGGAAGGCACAGTATTATTAAATTATGCAATGTAACTTTAATAATTGAATTCATAATATGAGATTGTTAACACATAGAAGCAAAATCTATGACAGTAGCACAATGTCTTGAAGGAAGAAATGGGAATCACGCTTCATAACAGTGGGTTATGTCCCAGTAAACCTACCACAAGTTGGAACTGCCATCATCAAGATACATTTAACACGTCTAGCATAGCTTAGCCCATCCTACTTCATATGTGCTCAGAGCTACAGGTATTAGCCTATAATTGGGCAAAACTATCTAGCAGAAAGCCTATTTTATAATAAAGTATCGAACATCTCAAATCAAAGTTCAAAGTATAGTTTCTGCTGAATACATCACTTTCAATATTACTGTCCGGGTGAAAGATCCTAGGTTGAGGCCACCTGTATGCTGTTTTCTTGTACAGTACATGGATGGTGTGTCACTAGAAGGTAGACTGCATTACAGATGTGTTCTAGAAGCCTTAAAGAAAAAGACTGACAGCTGACAAGCCAGTAAAGGAGATAAGTTAAATTTAAAACATATTCAATCCAAAAAGAAGATAGAAAAAGAGAGAAAAGATAAGGTGGGCCAAATAGAAAACACAACATAGGACAGTAGATTTATTAAAGGTGTTCTTACCAACAATAACAATAAATATAAATGGTCTAAATCAGGGATCAGAAAACTTTTTTTGTAAAGTTCTGGCAAGTCTTGGTTTTATGGACACAGCACCAGTCAACTTCGCCATTGCTCATAGGTAAGCAGCCAGAATGAATGGGCAATGACTGGCCAGAGTTTACTGATCTTGGTCTAAATATCTCCATTTAAAGAACATAGTTTTTCATTTTGGGTAAAAATGCAAGACCCTACCATCTGTTGACCAGAAGAAATGCACTTTAATATGAAGACACAAGCAGGTTAAAAGTAAAAGATATACTATGCTAACACAAAGCCAGAGGAAGTTGGAATAGCTTTATTATTGTTAGACCCAGCAGACCAGAGCAAAGATGTGAGAAAATTTAGAATATTGCCAGGGAAAAAAGAAGGTCATTTCATATGATAAAGTAGGGCATGATAATCCTAAACATTTAGTCACCTAATAGCAAAAATTGATGAAACTGCAAGGAGAAAGAGACAAATGTACAACCAGAGTCCAAAATGTAATCTCTCTTTGAATGACTGGCAGAAAAATAGCCAGAAAACCAGAAGGAATCTGTACTGTGGAAAATGATATAATAATGTATTTTTAAGAAATATTGAATAATATTATTAACAAACTGACCCAATTGACATTTATAGATATCCTCCACAGTAGAGTACACATTCTTCCTATGTAGCGTAAAGCATTTACCAAAATAAACCATTTTGTGTTATATAGAATTCTCAATCAATTCAGAAGACTTTAAATCATACAAAGTTTTTTTTCTCTTACTACAGTGGAATTAAATTAGAAATCATTAACCAAATGGTATCTGGAAAAATCCCCCAATATTTTGAAACTACATGAATACCACATCCACCTCATTAGCCACTCTGCTGTAAAAGGAGGAAGAAGGCAGGTTATAGGGGGAAACCAAGCACGGTTCCCCATAGAATCCACCAGAAACATCTGAGGATGCCAACCTCCCCGCCTCAGAGAACTCTTGATCTTGATAAAGTTACTTTACCTCTCTGAGCCTATTTCTTAATCTAGACACTGGGAATAATAGCTTCCAACTGGTATTTGTTTTTTTAACTTTTGGAAAATAGTACAATAATTTATTTTAGGAGATATATTTTCAAAAACAATATGTGCATATCAAATGTGAACAGTCAATCTGATCCCCATTTTCGTATCTGAAGTTCCCTTGGGCTTCGAAGGGAGTGACAGGTGATTATGTTCTAATGTGGTGAAGGCTCCATGGACAGTTAGGAAATAATAAAATCAGCCACAAAGTTCTCTGTTGGAAAATAATCAGTGAAAAGACAGTATTTTGCATATCAATACTAGATAGAGATGTTTTAAATACTAATTATGCATTTTAATAACAAATACAAAAGGAATGAGCTGTGTTCAGAATGCTCTGGACTCATTGGGAGGTCTTCACTGAGGAGATGGAGTTTGAACTAGTGGAGGTTATAGATAATAAAAAACAAAAATAAAAAACCTAAATCCTGGAATGTGTACACAGATCATTGATTTTTACTTTGTGTGACTCCTAAGCTCATATATTATTTATGTTTTTTTAAAAAGTCAATATTTTCCCACAATTATCAAAATTACTGTTACTGTATGAAGTAGCTTATGCATTATATGTGTAGCATCAACATCGTGTGTTTGCATAAAACATAAGTCCAGCAGTTTATATAAAATACAAACACGCAGCTGGGCATTCATTCAACCTCCTAATGATACATAGTGTATTCTGCAAGCAAACCACTGTGTGAGCTCTTCACTGTTCAAACTCGATAGGTCATGAAGGGACCAGCAGGCTCATGCCATGGGATTGTCACATTCAGATGACTCTTGTCATCCTATGTAGTTCTGGAAATTCCATCGGAAGCTCATTGCTTTGCTTTTCCTTCTCAGGTTGTGCAAATTGAAAACCAAGCCAGTAATAGTCAATCACTCTTTCCCCTTCTGCCCACGGTGCCTTTTCTTTCCCACAATCCGTATGCACCGTTCTTTTCTCTCAACCCACAAAAGTTCAAGGAGTCATTCAGGAGCAAGGTGTACACAGATCAATAACAGAACATTCTGCCACTCAAACCTTTTGCCCTTCCCACTTCTTCCTGAGTGCTTCCTTTGTTTCCTCCACATCAAAGGACCTCTTCTCCTTGAATAAAATTGAAGAACTTCTTTTTTAAAAGGTTCTTCCAAAGTTTTTTCTGTCATCTAATTTATACTGCGTCCTGTTCCACCTACTTTATGTACATTCCCACTCACTTATTTTGAGCAATCAGGATGGCAATAAGGAAGCTGCTCAGGAACTGATGGTGGCCAAAATTAGGGTAGTGGAGGGAGAGGTGAGAAGAAAGGGAGTCAAGGCATTTTTGTTAGGTGTGGCAGAGAGAGGGAGAGAATATGAGAGATTGCGCTATGGTTACCGATTTAAATAACCAATGGATGGTGGTGCTGTGTCCTGACACTGGGAGGGTCTGGGGAGGAACAGGTTTGGGGGAAGGTGTTCTGTCTAAGGCCATGCTGCTTATTGGAGACACTGTGAGCTGTCTAAATGGCTACAGGAGGCAAGTGGACATGAGTCCGTGATCTTCACACCAGAATCGATTCTGAATGCCCCCGAGGCCTTCCTCTTCTTTAGCAGTCTGAGAACAGCCCATGTGAACAATCCTATAACAGATCATCAGTAGACTTTTACCCAAACAATCCAGAAAGTTATTGAGAAAGACAGAATAGCTCCTCACATCACTATCAGACCAATTCCTGTGCATTTGGGGCACATGCCCAGTTCTAGCCCCAACTGACCTTCCAACTGGGGATGGTCTTCTGTCTTATTTTATTTAATTTAAAGGACTTCCTGTGGACTTTCTTAGCAAACCTTGTTTCTTGGCAAACCTCCCTTGAGATATCAGGCCTGAACCACACAGTTCTCCCAACTTACCAGGCATTTACCTCCAATTAGAGTTCATAATCACAGCACAGTACCATGCAGGCCTCAAGCCAGCCTGTTAGCAGGATTTCTCTGATCATCTCAGATGAACTCCAAGGCATGGATGACTCCAGCCCTCAGATTTGACCTCTCTCTTGCTCTAGTAGGCAGAGCCGAAACCAGTGGTAGGAAGACAGTGGAAAGAGATGGACATCGTTATCCTAAGTACATGTATGAAAACACGAATGGTGGAACTCTACTTTGTGTACAACCAGACGTGAAAAATTGTGCTGTATATGTATATTATGAATTGAAATGCATTCTGCTGCCCTATATAACAAATTAGAATAAATAAATAAATAACATTTAAAAGTAGAGTAGAACCAAGTACAGCAGACGTGGTCTCCCCCACAGGGTCTGAATGGTTGCTCACACGGGGACCCACCCCCAGCAATGCAATTCTTGGATTACATCCCTGACTGATGGGGGGGACAACTGGTGCAATTTGAATAGTATTATATCAATGTTCATTTTACTGCTTTTTATAATTGTACTGTAGTTCTACAAAAAAAGATCTCCTTGTTTTTACAAAACAAACAAACAAACAAAACCTCATGGAGGATGTGGGCTGAACTAGGAAACTACCTAGTGCCTGATGCTGTGCGAAGTGGGAACTCCTGCTGCTGGAGAGAGTTGCCACTTCTGGATATGACAGGCACCCAGCAGACCAGTCTCTGGAATAGATGCCACAGCAGGGACCAGAGAGTCAGCAGTGGAAGTCATTTCCCCTGACGGCTGAGTCCCTGCTCAGGCTGAGCTTACACACAGGCTTTGCCTCATTTAATCCTCCAACGCCCGCGAGGGAGCTAGTTGTGACCCTCCAGGACAGGTTCTGGCTCCAGCTTCAGATCACAAGCTAGCCAGTGGCAGGGCCAGGATTTAGAACCAAGATCAAACTCAATTCCATCACAAAACCAAGTCCTTGTTTATTCTCCCTACAGTTCACAGAAGCTTCAGAGACTGAACCAAGGGATTTCTGAATCCCCTCTGGCACTGTGATTCTGAGTCAGCTGTAGTGTTTTCCTTTAGTCATCCTTCTAGCCTTCATAACCTCAGGATGACAATCTGTGAACTCCATCAAGAAAAGGCCATTTGCAAAATCAACACCTGCCCCTGTAGCTCCTCTGAATTTCAGCTGACCTCAGTCTAAGGACCGCAAGAAAAAAAATTTTTTTCTACTTATGGGTTGCTGGCAAAGACTGAATTTTTAGTGTAAATGACTAAGCTTTTAGTCATGACATATAAATGACTCAGTTTTTAGTATTTTTGAAGACTCTAATGCTAACTTCTGTAGTAATATTTTAGATTTTAGGTCTCCCCAGGTCTTATAATACTTGACCCAAGATCATTTTTTCTGGCCCAGATTCTAAGTTTGAATTTTAAGTACCTGAAATTTTTAAACAGTTTAATTAAAACTTGATGCTAGAATTTTTTTTAAAAAATCAAGTCTGAAAATAAGCTTAATGTACCTATTTCTAGATAAAGTGGTTTTATATATGGGTTAACATTGTTTTCTAGATTGAGACTGAACTTGCCAAGGAAAGAGCCCGACACTTAGCTGAATTCGAGGAGAAGGCTCTTCTCTTTAAAGAAGAAGCAAAATTGGAACTTGATATTGAAAAAGAAAAACACCAAGAAATAATCCAAAAGTATAAGAAGGAACAGAAAGAACTACAAATGAAGGTCAGCAATTGTTACTTCATCACTATTTAAGGGGCCAGTACTTCCACCTAGGGACACTGCAGTATTCTTAACTCCCATGGCTGTCCTGTGGCTACTGTGCTTGGTTGTAGCCACACAGGTAAAACAGTCTGGCTCTTCTCCAGGTGGATAACTAGATAAGTTGTGTAAGCATATAATCCAGATGCGTGGGATTTTCTACTAAGATAAACTTACCTTTAAAACAGCATACACTTTATGACTAATAATTAGCCTGGCTGGATATTCCAAACAGCTCAGTATCCATCATCAAAATTGAAGTGTTTTATGTAATTAAAAATTTCCCAACTAAAATACATCTTTTTAAATGTAGAAATTTCCAGTTCCAAACATTGTTGAAAGAAGAGAAAATATTTTCAAAACATAACACACCTTTCTAATTTCTTAAACAGTGTGCCCTAAACTTAAGGTTTTATTAAGATTTCCGTTTTTATAGGACCTAAGTATAGGGTGTGTGTGTGTGTGTGTGTGTGTGTGTGTGTGTGTGTGTGTTAATCAAGGCCCAGTGGGGAAAAAATATTTTGATTAACTCATTAGAGTCCACACTGATGAAGTATCAAATGAGCCTGACATCTCTGCGTGGGTGTGAAGGAGCAACCAAGGAGATGTTGTTCAGTGGTCCACTCTGAACCACAGGTCGGTCCGGCTGCGTGAGTGTGTGACTGTGTAGCACAGGACCCCACACTCAGAAATGCTTTGTGCTATGGATTTAATGTTCTGCATATGCTGCCTTGAAATTCTTGATGGCTTATCTTTGAGATTTCGTAAGTAAAATCCTATGGAGATAGTGGAGCATGTGCCACCAGCTTGGAGCCTCGGCTCACCTCAATTCTGGTCTCCCACCCCTTGTGCCAAGGGCCACGCTGAGTTCCCCTGCCCATCCTCCCCTCACCTTGCAACTGCAGTTGCAGGACTGGGCTGTTCAGGATCCCATGGGCAGAGGAACACTGGAAAGCAGGCCTGAACTTGCCAGATGGTTTGGTTTCTCACAAGAAGTCGTAAGTCCAAATTTTTGTAAGTGAAGTCTCCTGATTTTTAAATGTTAACTGCCTTTTAAAAAAAATCAAAACATATGGCCAGGTGAACCTCCTATCCCCAGGATAACTTGCTCAGTCTCAAGGTCGCCTCTCCTCTGGGTGGAGAAATCCACTGTTCAGACCTACAGTGACCCTCTTTCCTTCTGGACTAACTGCAGAAAATAGAATATTAATTTATAAAATGACCAATTGTGGTGAATAGATTTCTCTCAAGAATTACACCTTATGTAAATTTAACATTTGAAACAAATTTGGATACATAACTCTTTTAAGTAATAGTTCACAAAGCCCTTGGAACTTTGATCTATAAATGCCTTCCAGACTCTTTGTGGGCTAGTTTCTTGTTTTGCTAATATTTATAATACGACAATATCTGTAGCAGAAGTAATAAGGATATGTTTCATCAGAAGTATCTTTGTTCTTCCTTGTTTTTCTGTTCTTTGTTTAGTTTTTTTTGTTTGTTTTGTTTTGTTTTAAGGAGAAAGAAAACAGTCTTTTCCCTTCTAAAGATTTCATGCTACAGGGAAAAGCTTCCCCAGGTTATTGTCTCATATTCATCTAGAAGCCTCAAGAAGCAGTACTTTTTCACAGTATCTGGATATTCTCTAGAATTTCACTGTCCATTATGATGGTCATATGTGGCTACTAATAATTCAATTAAATTAGTCAAAATTAAATAAAATTTAATATTCAGTTCTCAGTTACATCAGTCACATTGCAAGGGCTCAGTAGCCTATACTGGCTTTCAAGAGCCTATCCTGGTCATCCCCTTCCAGCTCAGTCCTATCAGTGGTATTACAGAGGTAGCTATGTTGAGAGTATTCACACCATGCCAATTAGATACATATTTGACTTTTTTGTGTGTGGGGAGTCAATTTTAAACATTTACCAGCACACTACTTCAAAAACCATATGTGGCCAGGCAAGTGGTATATGCCTATAATCCCAGCAGCTCAGGAGGCTGAAGCTGGAAGATTGTAAGTTCAAAGCCAGCTTTAGCAACTTAGCAAGGCCCTAAGCAACTCAGCCAGACCCCGCCTCAAAATAATATAAAAAGGACTAGGGGGATGTGGCTCAGTGGTTGAGTTCCCCTGGGTTCAGTCCCCTGTACCAAAATAAATAAATAAATAAGTGGCTAGTGGCCACCATATTGGATAATGCAGAATATTTCCATCAGAAGTTTTGTTGGGCAGTGTTGCTCTAAAAGGTGAAGACAGAAAGGAAGAAAAGAAAAATTATGTCAAGGGAAACTTAATTGTATGATATTAATAGAGTATAACTGTGGTGCCCCCCTTCCTGCATCTCCAAATATCAGGCATTTTGAGGTCCTGCAGCCAACCTAGCTAGGTCCAGCCAGGCCCTTAATCTACTTTGTCAGGACCTGAGCTATCCTTGGCAGCTCAATGTAGTCACAAATATTATGTATTTCCAAGGGTACCCAACTGATCAATGTGATACCATTTTAGGTGGAAAAATGAATCACACTAACTTTTTTATTATTTTTTTAAATTTATATATGACAGCAGAATGCATTACAATTCATATGACATACATAGAGCACAGATTTTCATATCTCTGGTTATATACAAAGTATATTTACACCAATTCATGTCTTCATACATGTACTTTGGATAATGATGACCATCAAATTCCACCATCATTTCTAACCCCATGACTCCCTCCTTCCCCTCCTACCCCTCTGCCCTATATAGAGTTCATCTGTTCCACCCATGCTCCCCTTCCCTATCCCACTATAAATCAGACTCCTTATATCAGAGAAAACATTTGGCATTTGGTTTTTTGGGATTGGCTAACTTCACTTAGCATTCCTTATCTTCTCTAACTCCATCCATTTACCTGCAAATGCTATGATTTTTATTCTCTTTTATTGCTGAGTAATATTCCATTGTGTATAAATGCCACATTTTTTATCCATTCATCAACTGAATAACTTTTAAAAGAAAATATTGAAGGCCTATGGATGTCATGGAGTTTGTTTTCCTCTAGTTAGAAGAACATACTAGAGTAACCCTCTTAAAAACCTGGATCTCTGTAGTTATCTAGAAACTGTTGCCTACAAACTAATATGATGTTTATCTTACAGATATCTGACTTAATCGCAGGTGCTACAAGAGACCTAAGGCTGGAAGTGACCACTCTTAAAGAAAAACTCCACAAATCCCACATCCAATACACAGAAGAATCTGAGTCAAAGAAAAAAGAAATTGAAAACCTAAAAAATTTGGTTGCAGAATTTGAATCTCGTTTGAAGAAGGAAATTGACAGTAATCATTCAGTTTCAGAAGACTTGAGGAAGGAAATGAAACACAAGTCAGATGAACTGGAAAGAGTATTGCTGGCACAAACACAACTGATACAACAACTTAGCCAGTCCCAGGAAGAGGTAGGATGCAGATCATGGTACCTTTGCAATTAGCGTAATACATGAACACAAAGGGTAGGTTGGTGTCATGGCAAGTGTCTGGCTCTGTCCTTAACAGAGCAGTCACTTAACCTCTGGGCCTGGCTTCCTTTGGTGTAAGATGAATACACTGAACTACATAATCTCTGAAGTTCCCTCAGTGCCCAGTTCAGTGTTGCAAATGACTAAAATCTCTAAGCCTAGGAATCTTTATGTATTTATGTCTTATTTGTTTTAACATTGACTCATTGCTTAAGTTAAAAAGATATTATTGAATAATATAAATACAAATTTACTTTAGTGTTTTACATTTCTGTCAACCTAAATTCATAAGGTAATTTACATGCTTTAGTCTTCTTCCTTACATATGCTTAATCATTTCAGCCATGTTTTTATTTAGACAGCTTGGAAAACTTTTTTCTACCAAAGTCTTATTTCTAAACTGATAAGCAGTTTAGAAATAGGGGAACAACTAATTTGTTCTCTAATCACCAACATCTGTTTCATTATAATATTTGATCCCACTTACGATAGTAGAGCAAATAAAGACAAATGGAGGTAAATTCTGAATGTCAGTGAGGAATAATATTTTTGCTGGTTTTTCCTTAATTAAGGAATAAAAATAATAAAGGAATAATAATATCAATTATTAACAACAAATATGCCATAGTCTTGCTATATTTAAGTTATCAACTAAAATAGAAAGTTTATGACACCATTGTAACTACAAAGTGAACCTATCCCAAAGAAATACAAGCTAAAATATGGAATGGACAAAATACAGGTTCAAGAATAATGCCCAAGACGACTTTATAAAATAGAAATTACTTACCTGTTCTGGATGGGGAACTGATTGAAAAGCTTGAATAATTCCCTCGAGGTCATTAAATTTGGTGGAGCCCAGATTCAAAGTTGAATCTCTTGGTATGATGTTTCTTCTTTTGGGAAACCTAAGTTCTAGTCAATCTGCTTCTAAATTTCAGAGTGGCCACATGCTATCTCCTGGCCTCAACTATCTACCTACTTACTACTTTTAAAAGGAAAAACAAACAAAAACCAATTTGCATGCTCTTACTCCTCTGGATGGTGAGGGAATCAGGGGATTGTCTTACCTCCCCAGCAAGGGAGCCTCTCCCAAGCCAGGGAGGAGAGGAGGACAGCAGAGTGGACTGAGTGCCACCAGGGAACTGACATGCCAGACAGCAGTGTGGCAGTTCCAGAGGCGAGGCAGCAGGTCAGAGGGGCGAGAAGTGGAGGCAATGAGTTAGGGGTCTGAGTCCCAAGAGAAACTGTGATACAGGAAGGAGGAGTAACTTAATCAGGACAGGTAGAAAGAGATGAAAGTGTCAAATTCAGAAAATATGAATTTTCCTCTGGGTGCAAGGCACCATGCTAAGTGAGCACTGGTGACATAATTCGGAATAAAACTGATGTCTGCATTTCCGGCCTTCAAAGAATTTAAAGAAAAACTTTCATGAGTAATTAAATTCTCTCTAGAGGAGAGAACAATCTAAACAAATTTAGCTATGAAAAACAGGCGAAAAGCTAGGTAATTTGCCTTAAGAGCCTGTATTTATTATGTATTGCTATGTGACAAATTATCTCCAATTCAGCAGTTTCAAACTACAAAATTATCATTTCTGAGGGTCTCACCAGACCACATGGTATCAGTGAACCCAGAGGTGTGCAGTCTTACCTGAAGACCTAGCTGGGGGAGGCCTGGCCTCCAGCTAGGGTGGTGGTGGGTGGGCAGAGCTATGGCCTCCAGCCCACTTGGATGATTATGCACAGGATTTTCTTCCTCACAGGCTATTGACCTGAGAACCTCTAGCTGTTGGCCAGAAGCCCTCGTAAGCCCTTGCCACAGGTAGCTCCTTAGACCAGTGCATCCACTGGCTCCCTTGGGGTGAGGAGGCAGAGGAGAGAAGGGTGCCAAGACAAGAGCCGCAGTCCTTGTATGACCAAGTCTCCGAAGTGCTATCCCACTGCCCCCACTATGAGGCAATGAGCCCAGCCCACACTCAAGGTGAAGCAAGCGCACAAATTTGACCATCAAGACTGCAGAAACCTCTGGGGCCATTTTAATGGCTTCCAACCAAAGGCCCTCTGGAAGTGATTTTAGCAAAAGAAATCAGATTGAAAACAAAGAGATTTTGCTATCACACAAAAGAAGCTATATCTGGACCTGTCTTGCTCTTTAGTTACAAAAGAAAGCCACTTAGAAATGAGGTTTCATTTAAAATACATACTGACTGTTAAAAGAACATAGTGGGTTGGTATATAAATGGTCATTGATCATCACTAGAGAGGAGAAAAGGATCATCTCTAGAATAAAGAAAGCTAATAAAAGATGAGCATGGGGCAGCTATGGGAGGAGAGGGTAGACTAGATCTTCCATTGGAAGCTACTAAAGTGTCACCCCTAAAGTAAATAATGAAAACTGAAGTGTAAATAAATAAGGCTATTCTCTAGCTAAGCATACCAAAATCCAGAATATGCTTATGAAAATAGGGAATGGGCCAATAAAAGTAACAGGATTTATGAGCCAGAAAGCATAGAAGCTGTGAATAGAAGCATTAAAGTGAAAAGTACTATTTTCTTTTTTGATCATACATTCCAGACACTTAAATTTCTTGGATTCTAGAGAAATGAAGCTGCATTTAAGTGAAGAATAAATTCCCATTAGCATGAAGAATTAATGGTCTAATAAGAGGCTCGAATAAAAGGAAGAAAGCCCTATTCTCTTCCAAGTGGCCAAAGAAGGGGCAGACTTTGCTTTTAATTGTATGAAGACAAGTTCTCCAGGCTAGCCTCTGAAGGGCAAGACAAGCCTCCCTAAGTAGATCAGGGATTATTGAAGCCACAATAGCAGCATAGAGTATAGCAAGAGAAAGGGTACAGGCCATAAGCAGAGAGAAAATGGAAAGTAAAACTGTACTGGAAATGTAACTGTGAACAAGAGCCCCTAAAAATTCTTGCTGGGGAATAGACACATACATTAAAACTTTGAAACTTCAAAAACAAAAAAGAAAAGGAAGTTGAGAAGAGAAAGTCAATATGTTAAAGAATAGCAAGTTGTCATCAAAGCCAAGTTAAAAATGGGCACACGCTTCCAGGGATCAGTCTGCCTTCATGCTAGTTCCATGTAAATTTTATCAAGAGAATATGGTCTCGTGGTTATGGCCTTATTGTAAGCCAGAGAAAGAACATGGCAAATTGAGGAAAAAAAATCTAAAAAGCTCACGTAAGAGAACCAAAGGAAAACCAGTGCAGAGGGCTCAGCATTTTTGTTAAGACTGTAGATAAGGCGCAGAAAGGAGCAGGAATTTTAAATTCTGCGATTCCTATAGCCCATCCATGATGAAAGATATTCAGAAAATAATCCTCTTGGTTAAACATGGAGAATTGAATCTCTACTTCCATTTTGCTGCCACAGAAATGGGGGGAAAATAATAAAAAGTGATTAATCCACAAGGGCAAAGAGAAAAAGAGGAGTAGATGCCAGGTGGAAAAGATGCTGCTGGACCTGGGGGCACACACCTGTGGTCACAGCAACTCTGGAGGCTGCAGCAGGGAGATTGAGAATCCGAGGCCAGCCTCACCAACTTAGTGAGACCCTGTCTCAAAATAAAAAGCAAAAAGGGCTAGGGATGCAGCTCAGTGGTAAAGTTCTCTGGATTCAATCAGAGGTTAAAAAAAAAAGGAAAAAAAAAAGATGTTGACAAAATTTTGGAAAATGGAAAGCAAATGGCTAAGAGGTGGCTACAGACCACTGACTTAGGAGTCTATAGACTATTGAGACCCTAATGTCTATGGTGATAAGGCCAGGGGATCAAATGGAGCAGACCTAAGTGAGTGATAACACTGGAGACTCAGGAATTGGAGACACCAGATACCTCTGAAAGAGGGACAGAAGAGAGAAGCTGAAAGCAGGAGAGCTTGCAAGATTGTAAAGGGAGCAAGTAGATCTTGAGGTGGCTTCCCCAGTCTCCATGCAGCCTGCAGAATACTAGAGGTTCATTCTCTAGTAAAATTGGATGGGAGAAGCACTGGACCTGAGCATACAAGACAGCAGAGTGTGGGGTGAAACAGGAGCTGGAGGGAATCTGCTTGTTAAATGGGAGAACTCCCATTCCCATCACACACTCAACTCCCAGAACACTGGCCAGCAGGTTTATTCATCAGTAGGCAAGAAGTTGGAAGAGCCCTTTCCAGGGAAATGAGCTGCCTCAAAAGAAGATATCTGTGTATTCTGACCATGAGGGGGCCCATGAAATGTCCAGGTCCATGTGCAGTCTACCTAGTCTCGGGTGTACCAGCCAGTAAGCCCTATCCATGCACATGGAGCTCCAAGTAACATCTGGGAACCCGATTTTCAGCATAAACAGCCAAAGATCTCCAAGTATTTGAGAAATATATGTACTATGAAGGACAGAAACCAGAAATGAACAAATAAGGGGGAAAAATGAAGAAGAACTTAGAAGTAACAAATATAAAACCACACATGGGTCAGAAGAGTGCTTCAGGAAAAAGATATAATGTGGTGTTATAACACAACACCACAAACTGGGTAAATCATTTTAAAAAAAGTCTATTTTGGCTCATGATCTGGTTGCTTAAGGCCAAATGTCATATCTATTGATGGCATTTTTTCTGGCAGAGTCCTGAGATAGCACAGGACTTCACATGGGAAGAAACAGAATATGTGTGGGATTGCACATGTGTGTGTGTGTGTGTGTGTGTGTGTGTGTTCTGCTCGCACTTCCTCTTCATATAAAGCCACCAGGATTCAATCACAAGGGCTTTACCCTAATGACCTTATCTAATTTTATTTGTTAGAACTAAAGGATGGGCCACACACAAACTTCATGGATCAGCACAGCTTTTATTCAGGAATGGAGTCACACCTCTGATGGACCCACTTTCCTTGTGGAAAAAGAGCCACTGGCCAAAGGGCAGTTTGTGCTTATATAGGTTATACT